GACGCAAGCGCATCTACAGTGTTTCAAAAATGCCGATTGAAAGGAGTCAGGAAACATGGACAGAAGCAGCTCTCAACGTCACTCCAAATGGCTTGGTACGACTCTTCGATGTTGATCCACTAGCCCGATTCATCTGGATTGACGACATCAGAATGATCACCTATGACGTTAAAGAGCGTAGACTCCTTTTCCATCAATTCTGGTAAACCAGTGGTGACACCTAACCAAATTAGGGAACTCGAATCACGACTCATCACATCAAAAATCAACAATAATTCCCCCAAACAAATGCTCGCTACTCAATGTTCTGTCCAAATGTTCGCTGCTAAATGTACCATCACATTAAGAGAACTTCATTGATGATTGAGTTAAAAGCAATGAGTTAATTTCTGTTAAAGGACACACAATTTCAATTGTTCCTTTCTTACATTTTGACTACTCAAAAATTAACTGACTAACTGCATTTGTAAACCCGTGCCTATATTATGTTAATCAGATTTCATATTCAAATATGAATTTATAGTGGAATATGGTAAGTAATTAAGCATCTCCTTGAATGACGTATTTTATTCCCAGGACGATCAATTATAATTTGAGGTGAAGCAAAGTGTATATATTTCAGTAACTGATTTTGTACATTTTTTGACAACCTAGTTCGAGCATGGTATATATTGGTATATATTTTTTTTTTTTTTTTTTTATGTCATAAATGGCAGTCTTAAAAAGTTTACATTTTGCAAAAATAGGGAGGAGATGATTTTCCATCATAAGCAACAGTCTACCGACGTACATTTACAACTTGCATACTATATCTCAAATCGTATGACAATGGTTGGTTCGTATTGAAGTCCAATGCGCCATGACCCCAATTGTGGGTCGGCAAGAGAAGTTTATTTATCATTAACAGAGTTCTCACTTGCTATCTTGAATGCATTTTACGACAACAACGTTGAATATACTAGTTCTCGGCCAAAGATGGAAGTGTGTGAAAGTGAAGGTCAATTATATTTCAGGCCTTATAATTTCTAGTTGCGATATTATATGTTGTTTGTTTGCCTGACCTCCTGATGCACGCAACCAACCAACTTACAAGATTCCAAACTCGAGAATAATACTCTGGTAAAATCGGAGTTCTGCCAATTAGCAGTGGACTAACTGTGGTCAGGGGACACACCGTTTTTAACCATTATCACAATCAATTCGACATTTATTTTCACATTGACATCCTCAGTGAAAATTCACACAGAAAAAAAAGAAATATGTATAAACAAAACATTCTTGACAGACAATATGTAATTAAGTGTAAACATTAAATAATCTTCTCTTCAAGCCTTTTCTATTCTTTTGGACATACCAACATTTTGTTCTTTTTTTTAAACTAAACTTTTTAAACATTTACTTAATAAAATAGGCAAGTGTGTAAATCTGTGCTTTGCTGCCTATTATATATTAGCAGGAATCGAAGTATAAACAAACTATTATAGATATATTCTTACTATTCCCGAGATACGCAGTCTTGAGAAAGTTGGAAATTGAAGCATGTCTTTGCTGTAAATATTGTGTGCACCAAAACAGATGTCTCAACGGAGTGGCAATTTTATTTGTAAAACTAATTTCTTTTCTTTGTAACATACATTGATTCGAAATCATGTTATCCTACATTGAAAACAAACTCACTTGTTAAAAAGAACGGGTGAAATTTCGTTTCCAAAACGTCCGTTTCCTCGGATGTTGGAATATGATGAATCGAGAAAATATTACGCGCATGTATTATGGAACACAGGCATTTTATGTGGGCAAAAATACTGTGAGTAAATAGGTACATGTATCCTCTTGAACACAATCTGACGTACAGTTACGTTCAGCTAAACCTGAATTATTTCAGAATTGAGTCAAAGTTTGTTTTTCTTTAAGTTGTTGATTTTCATCAATATTGTATAGACCTCTTATACATGTGTATATATATGTATGCAAATTTGATAGGCTCTTTCAGTGTTGCATATTACATGCGATGATGTATATGTGATGATTATACAAATATTCTGTAATGTCACTTGGTGAATGGGAGTAAAGTGATATGCAAATACCTGTTCATAAATGTCTTCCATTGTAATTATGTGTGCACATATGTTAGTAATGATTATTGACCAGTATGTATTCGTCTGTCGGTTTTAATGTAAATTGTGCAGACTGATTTATCCCCACCTTGTGTGGATGCTTTAAGGTGGACTGCACCCTGGCGAGCCGAGTCAATGTCTTGTCTCTCTTTTGACCTCGAGAGACTATTCATTCACCACTGCCAAATAAGGACCGACATGATTTCTACCCTTTTTTTGATCACATGAACGATGCGGAAATAGTTTAGTCGGACAAATTTAGATTGAGTTTCTGTCACAGATATGACAAAGGTGTAGCCAGGGGGTTGGGGAGGGGTAAGGGGAGGGATGGACGAATTCAGAATGAATCGCTGTCACAGATATGACATTGGCGTAGCCAGTGGCGGAGGGGGTTATTGGGCCCCCCAGCATTGTGTAAATGCTGCCCTTTTCTATTCAAACGATTTTTTTTTGTCACCAGCGCTTCCCCCAATAATAAGATTCCCATTCTTTTGCCCTATTTTCTGAACAATTGTCCTTAGAAAAAGACTAAAAAAGCACCATATATTTTCCGTTAATATAGTCGTAGGTTTTGAACAGCGCCCCAAACGACAGATGGTACCAGTCCCCCCCCCCCACACACACACACCAGCAACGTTTTTTTTATGGTGTAAATCGAGGATTTGCTATTGTTCCTCTTTCCTTGTCCTTTATTTCTACTATTTTGATTTTGTTCACGTTTTTTTAATCGAGGTTGTCCTCGATTTGGTTCCTGTCTTCAATTTATCGATGATGTTGGACGTGTGTCCTCGATTTACACCATATACAAACACACTATTGGATGTTACAGATGCTAAGTGTTCGGATGCAAAGTGTCTACATTTCAGCAAAGATTTGCGAGTGCCCTTTTCAAGAAATGCCCCTCCCCGGCCCCGTCATTACCATAACTAGACAGCAGTGATCAAATTTCATGCCAACCAGATACTACGCGCGCTTTTTTGGACCACCATAGGCCTATTAACTTGTCTTCTTCTTCAGCATTTCAGGTTTTCTGTTGCTAAGAAACTGCCAAATGTGCATCACATCCAGGTCAGGTGCGAGTTGTCCAAGGTTCGAGTTGCCTAAGGTCGGTGGAAATAATCTGTACCGGCGAGTGGGGGATGATCAATATTCAAAAATTGCCCAGCCGTGGAAATTCGAAAGGGGATGGGGGGGGGGGGCGGCTAGACACCGCATTACACTAGGGGGCGCTCTTCAAGATATAGATGTATATCAATATGTTTACTCGGGCTTACGTCAAATGGGTACATTTCAAAAGCTTTTGTTCTTTGTTTCTCCATTTTCAGTGTTATTGAATACATTGTCGTCGTTTGGGGGGAGTGAAAAATTACCTAAGACTGCATTTTTTTTTCATCACGAAATGTTGATGGAATTCAATAGCCTGTCTCCCCCTAGTTTAATAAAGTTGGGGGAGTATATACCCTCACCCTCCTGGGATTTACGCCCCTGCCCAAGGTACGAGATGACCTGCTCAGTAATTTTGACTGCGACACACACAAAAAACCACATGTAAAAGAGCCATCAAAGCTCAGACAGAACTGTACTGTGCTCTCAAGTACTCCAAAATCTTAAGCATGTATTGAGGCTAATATTCTTACAATGAGTCGCCGTCAACTGACTCAACTCCAACGTTAAACCTGTAAACTTATTCCAAACAGAAACAGTTGTTAACTAATCATTGAGACTCGGCCCAGTTGCCTTTGGTCGAATGCGCATGCCCCAAAGCTTCTCTATTCAGCACTTGCATTCAACCGGAAAGTTTCACCTGAAAGCTATTGTACGCATGCAGTGTACCTAATCCATTGTATGCATTGCATCTGAACTTGGCAGTGTTGATGTACAAGTGAATATAAGTACTGCATTTCTGCGTGCGCCATATTGAAACCTATATCGGCCTAACCATGGCTTGATTCTGTACACATCCACGCAGTTGACACGCCCGTACAGTACCTGCTTGTCCACGCCGTCATCTATGTGATCAGAAAAACACTGACATAAGACTGGTAAGTAGTTTGAATTCGGCAAAATCGCAAGCAGATCAGTGAGCTGCAATTCTTTCTGAAATGTGGGGTTTAACTGCGGGGCTTAGTGACTATGTGTTGGTTTGGGAAACCCCATTCCTATATTGCTTATCATTCCAAAATGCAGAATTCTCAGCGGTGAGCATAGCGTTCCAGAATGACTTAGTAGGTGGACACAAATTGTTGTAGGATTATCCTTTTCAGGCCCAGGGTATTTTTGGTCTTATGAAATTCAGAGGGGCTTGGGAGTGGTTGTTGCTCCGGCCGATTTTCCTAACAGGCTGAAAGATATAACTGTCGGTTGTTTGTAAAGTGGGTTGTCGTAATATCAAACGATGACGTCATTTTGGTTGTGCTGTGGCGTCAACAGGAGGGAGCGTTACCCATTTTTGCCCATATTGTATTTTTTTAAACAGTCTTTTGGTGGTTCCATTTTCATTCCAGTGCTTTGAGCTTAGTAGGTAATTAAAGACTTGTTATACAACAAGTAGATCAATATTTGAACTTTACATGTCACTGCAAGGGGCGCTGTATATTTTTCATTTTTAGAACATTCATAAACGCTTGTGATTTTGTTAGTCTCTATACTTTTTTTGACGGAACTTCGGTCCAGTGAAGAATTTTGGGCAGAGTTATCTTTTTTGGATATAATTATGAATCTGGCCATAAGCAAAGGTTTAAAAAACGAACATCATGTAGAACCACTGAAAATGGCTTTTCATAAATTGATTCCATGAAAGCAATGCAGTAGATCACTTAAAAAACAAAACAATGGAACGTCGGACCAATGGGACGTAAAGACCAACGGGACGTAAAGACCAATATGCCGTCGGACCAATGGACCATAGGGACGTCGCCGGAAAACAAAGTATGCAAACGTCGCCAATGTTCGTGCCGTTTGCAGACTCATATTACTTGGACATTGATATATGAAACTTAAATGTTTGCTTGGTAGGCATAAATAATGAATGGGAGGCTTGTGGTAATACCATGTGAAGGATATCTCTTTGTGAGTTGTGTGGTTCTGAGAAGAACTAGGTGGTATACCTCGACGTTTCCGACAGTATGCTCTGTTTGTCATCACGAGACTGCCAGACTACGAAGAATAATGTTCAGGCCTGTTTGATATCAGCTCATTAAGAGTAAAACTCGACTCGTTAAGATGTATTTTCTGGTTACGTGCATGACAATCTTACAGAGTGTAGAAGAAATAAGAAATAAAATTAGTGTTGATATCTGGGTTAAAATCCAGATCAGTTCTTGTCGTCGCACTATAAAGTCAATGTTTTATTTCACTCTTTATATACAGATATCTGTGGTCATGGCAGACTGTGACATTTCTGGAAGTGACAGTATGAGTGAATGCACCACCGCTGCATCGAGTGGATCTCTTATCTATGCTGTCCCCGATGACTTAATACAGACGATTTTGCAACATCTGAGTGTGACCGACCTGTGTCACGTAGCATCATGCTGCCGTTGGCTACGCGATGCAACCAATCAGGATTCACTCTGGCGCCCTCTTTGTAAAAGTAGAGGATGGGAGCACTATGGCACCACCACAGACCTGGCTAAGATAGCCTCCTACGGACCTTCCGAGCAAGTAACCGATACTAGTGGAGCAGGGGACGACATTGTCACCTTCCAGGAAGATAGGATCGTGACTGATGACAACACAGGGTGCTTAACCAGCACTTGCCGGTGGAAAGGCGTCTACATGAGAGCTTACCATCTGGATAGAAACTGGGCTACAAATTCATCTCATTTCAAGAGGTTTATTAACCTTGATCTGGGAGAAACACAAGGTCCCGAAAGTCCTAGTTTCTGTATCGATGGGGATCTACTGGCCATTAAAAAAGGTCGTCAAGCAATCCAGGTATATAATATTCGGAAGAAGGCCATTCAGTGTGTTCTTCCTCCCATCGAACCAACGTACAATTGTGATTGGGACCGTGGATTTGAGTTCAGAGATGGCGTAATTGTGGTGCCTTGCAGTGATGGGGTGGCATATGCGTTTGATGCAAGCACAGGAGCGCTGCTTCAAAAAATAAGTGGTAACTGGAGCCGCAGCTCTGTGTCAATGTTCTTTGATGGTGAACTGATCATCACCTATGTGTATACTTTTCAGACGAATGTTGATAAGAACAGCGAGAAGTTCCGTGACATTTTCGTGTGGTGTGTAAAAGACAGCCGACATCAACGCATCCTAACAGTGGACCCTTCTGAGGGTGTCTGCGTTTGTTATAACGCGGACTATCGGGACAAGATAGTAGCAGCTTTCTACGATGATGACTACATTCGCGTGTGGGATGCGAGGAGCGGGGAGTGTTTGCATAAACTAAAATGCCCAGGGGAAAAGTCAAACGTCAAACTTGGCGATAATGTTATCGTTGGTTTCAGTAAGGCAATCGACGAGGAAGTGTGCGATATTATTATTTGGAGCCAAGGCACGGGAGTTTGTCAAAAGGTGATACGTAAAGCATCGGGTTACTGGATGTACCCTTATGCGCAGGTCGTGAATGATTTTATATTATGGCATGAAAGGAAAAAATCTGGCGATGCGACTTACTCCCTGTACATTTACAATTTACGTAAAGAATCGGTAACGGAGATGGTGCATCATTGCGAAGATACTACAGGAAACGGAAGCAAGCTCGTCTACTTTGTTTTAAACGAGCTAGTCAAAGGGATAAAGAGAACAGGGAAAAGGGTCGTCTTCAACGCCGCTCCAAATGGCTTGGTACGACTCTTCGATGTTGGTCTTTACCAGGTCATCTGGATTGACGACATCAGAATGATCCTCTATGACGATAGAGAGCAAAGACTTCTTTTCCATCATTTCTGGTAAACCAGTGGTGACACCTTTCCAATTAAGGAACTTGCATTTATAATCTTCCGACAATAATCCCCAAATACACAAACATCGACCATTATCCCCGTACACACAATATGCTTTGTTACATCGGAGCTTTGTCAAATGTTTACTGCCCAATGGACCATTACACCCGGAACTCCAGGCACGATGGGAAAACTTTGACGATAGGACACACGTTTTTTTTTAATAACCATTTTCGTTTCTTAAAGCCCAGTAGTGTTACTTTAATATAATACAATGTATACCCAGAATTCTGCACTAGTTAAATGTGTTTTTTTTTTAATTCTTTGCATTTTATAATTCCATACATGAACACCTTTCTGTAGATTTATCATCACGACCCAAGTGTTTGTAGGAGGCGTTGTCTCTGTTACAAGCTCTTATTTTAGCACATCGTGTAGTTGAACATTCGCCATAAGCCATCTTTTGCTACCACAACGAAAAGAAACTGAGATTAGTTTTCAAAGTATAATACATCTGTGGATCACACTAGTCAGTTTTGTATTATACTTTTAGAGTTATCGTTTTAATTATGTGACTCTGCCCACTTCGTAGCCAAATTCCAGCAAGATAGTGTTTTATGAAGTCACCCTAATATCTTTTTCTCCGTTTTGAACATTAAACAAAAACAAAATAAATTGAATACCGGTAGCGGAATTTGTAAATATTGAACCTGTACATCAACAGGTTGTAGCAGTTCAAATGCAAATGAATATTTTAGACCACGTGACATTCAAAGATGCTTACAAGATTGCATGAAGTGGTCACGTGATGCCAACTTCCAGCAAATGGTTCTTTTCTGCACTGTTTGTATATTTCTTGAAATATGAAGGGTTTGAAAGTGTTGACATGATAGTACTGTTTAATTTGGGCCAAATAGCATACACAATATGCTAAACTATTTGGGTTGCCCTGTGTATGCCTGTCGGCACACACAGGGCACATAGTATTCTGCTTGATACGTTCTTTTCATAATTATTAAGCGTAACTGTAAATATTGAGCGCAATTGAAGAATGATTTGAAATGAGTGTGTTAATTGTACAGTCATACAACTCTGTAACATGCAATGACTCATATACGTGGACTTGTAACCACGCGTGAATATTAAACGTTATATTAATTAAGGTAAAGCCTTTTCAGTAGTTAGTTTTGCTAATTAACTAGTTCTTGTAATCAACTGTACACGTTAATTTCATGGGTATTCAAACTATTACTTAATGTGACGAATGTCAGTCTATTAATTTTTACATTTGCATTAATAGAGACCAGGTGATTCGTTACTACATGTTCAAGTAATTTTGATAAATTATGAGTACTGCGTGAGTCTAAAGAAGCGGAACCCAAACCCCCACAAATATATTTTATATTAAAACAAAATGTAGCACCAAAAATAATAATGACTAGAAGGCCAATTTAATATGCTAGTTCTTGATGTAAACAATACTGACATTGCTTAATCCGCTCGAAAAATATAACAATTTAAACGCAATGCCCCTTTAACCTGGGTGTTCAAAACAAAAAGGAATTGATTGTGTGTTCAGACTGTTCGGAACAGCTAAGAAAATGACACAGAGTACTTGTTTCAACAACTGACAACAACTGTAGTACACACTATATTTACTAACAACCGTGCTTACGGCAAACAATATGATATATGAAATCTACTTATTTTAAAGACAGGCCTTCAGAAGGACTTCGGTGGATATTTTCAACTTTCAAATTGAAGTTTTATTGCTGGTAATGTTTGAAGACAATTGTGACGACGATTCTTGAATTCTCTTTTTTAGACGAAAGACGTTTTACGGTCATTGTGTTTAAATGGTGTTATACTTTGAACGACTTGAGCAATCGAAGCATTTTTTTCAGTTTATGAAATTCGCCTTCAAGTCTGTAATGTTTTTGATGCTACATATTTTTTTGTTTCAAATAAAATGTATTCGTTGGGGTTTGGGTTCTGCTTTTTTAATCACCCTGTATATACATAAATAATGAGTTATGATAATTGAACTCGTATGCGAATCCGCTGGTTTATATTATATTGAAGTTCATGAGTCACAACTAAAACTAGTTACTGAGTCAAAGAGGTGTCCCCCCCCCCACACACACACACATATTCTTAACTGGTATCTTGGAATACATTATAGGACCGTACCACGCTGTGTACTCTAGAGATTTGTGAGTAAGATGAACGTAAATGGAGTTTAGGATCAGTTATTTTTTCAGGCGCTATCATGAAATGTCAAGTTTATAATATTTCATTCTAATTATGTGGGGGACCTGCTGGCGCACGCACCAAACAAAAATGACATATATAACGACAATATAATATAATCCATCTAAGACACAGAAGCCAGGTTGAATCGGGGCTGTGACCATTTTTACACAATGAAAAAAAATCTGTCGCGGGACACAGGATTTTATTATCTTCTCTGAAAGCCCAGAGCTTCAATGTCTATTGCTTTGGACATGCCAATCTGGTATTCCTAGAATTCTGTTGATTTGTTTTCTTTTCTCTGGTTTTAAACTACGCATTAAACTAAAGGGCCCATCGGATGATTTGTTTGTCGTTTGAATACATTTTGCGTCACTTGATACTCCTCTTAAACGTATGAAATGAGAAGTGCTCTTCTTTAAATATTGGAGATTTTCGAACAACTGACTGCCCTATTTAGGTGAGAAAAACTTATTGGTATACTGCCATGTCAAATCACCAAAGAAAAGAACAGTTTCGACGGCGAAATATCAAACGTCCTGGTAACTTTTGGTATTATAATGTAGAGGTTTCTGCCTGAAATGACATCACCCTTTTGCTCATAAGTATGGAATTCCACATTAAAATAAAATCTTAAAAAAGGCAAAACGAAATGAAAAAGCTAAACGAGACACAAAGATTGCATTGCACAGGCCTTTAATTCTATCTGGTTGTCTGGGAGTAAAAGGATATTTCGGTTGCAAAGACCTGATCTCCCATGCACATGATACGTCGGGATGATTCTTGACGAGTATGTTTGGAAAGAATATTTGCTTAGTTTGTTTTCAATGTAAATTCTGCAAACTGATTTATCCCCACCTTTGTGTACATTATCGCAAGCAGACGGCAGCCTGGTGAGCCGAGTCTATACTTTTACCTCGTGTGAGATTATCCATGATGTCTAACTCTGCGATGATTTCTAATTCTTTGTTTATGATCATGCACGAAACGAGCGATGCTGAAATGATGGATTGACTAATTCGGAACGATTTTCGATCACACGCAAGAAAAGAAACGCCTGTTTCCTGCCATAACTAGTGATCATTCACAACAAACTAACCACATCTCATTTCGGACAATCATGACTTTTTTTTTTCAAATCGATGTTATTGCCCAGAAATATTGCATCAGTGTTGGGGGATCGCTTTAAGCAACCAAAGAAACAATGCATTGATTGCATAGGAGTTCTTTGAGTGTAACCCCGGTGTTTCTGTCTGAGCATACCAGCAACATTCCGCTGATTACATAGGATGGCAGAGCATCCAGTGGGCTGTCCTAGAGCACCAAACCCTCACTGCACTGATTCCATAGATGCTATATTTCAATCAGAGCACTCTGTGGCTGGAATGCTCTAAGAGATCAGTGACTGAAGAGCCCTGAGAGAACCCCCAAAGCAATATAGTTGCCATTTTGCTCGGATGTTCCGGGAGAAACCTATGAGATTCTTTGAGAGAAAACTCCGGAATGCTCTAAGAGAAGTTTACGAAATCCATGTGCAATCATTGCAATATAGGTGGGAGGCTGGAAGAGAACCCTTAGAACCAGTGTTGTTTTGGTTGAGATGCTCTTAGAGAGCTTCCTGTGATGATATAAGATCTCCCTATGCAACTAGTGCAGTGTGGGCTTGGATGCTCAAAAAGAACCCGGATGAGGCTATAAGAGAGCCAGCACCTGCGATGCTCAAATACTACATGGAGAACCCAAATACTGCGTGACACAAGGTATTATATATTTTTCATGAAATTGCGATACTATAAAGTTCCATTTTTTTTTTAATATTCATGCAATTGTATGACACCAGGTCTTGTACGAGTACGTTTGTCTGCGTGTGAGCTACTGATGAAGCACACGCACTGCACATACACGAACACACAACTCAAGCCGCGCCGCGAAGCCACAATTTCGTGAAATGCAGCGGTCGGGTCAGGCATCAGGTCACACGTTTTCTCAGAGAGACGTTTTGAAAAAAGGAAATATTTATCTGCGTTCTTTTGAGCGCTTGTGCACCAATGCTGTTTATTTAGCAGTGCTTTCAACTTGGCCGTTGAACCCGAAAGATATTGTACTCACATGCAGGGGCCGCCTTTCCCATTGTACCCATTATACCTGAACTCACAGTGCCATGGACAACAAGTGAATACAGTACTGCATGTGTGCGTGCGCCCCGTTGAAAATCCCTGTAATTGTGTGGCTGTATTCCGTTAACACGCACGTGCAGTTCCTGTTTCAGCACATAGTCACCTTTGTGTATGATCAGTAAAAACACTGGAATTACACTTGTAAGTAGTTATAAGCCAAAAATAAAGAAAGATGTGTGAGTGTGAGCTCCATTTTCTTCTGGAACGTGAGACCCAACTGGATGTTTTTGAAGTGAATTCAGCTTGGGAAATCCCAGCCTTAGTGTATTGCTTATCATTCAAAATTGCAAAATTCTCAAGGGAGTGAGCATATAGCGTTCTAGAATGATGTAGTAGGTCAAAAGAAATTAGTGCTAAGATGATTCCTTTCAGGACCCGGGTATTCTTATTTTTTGTACAGATTTGGTTACTTTTGATTTTGTCACGTAGTGCTGATTAGAATCGCCGGGCTAAATATAATGAAAATCAACGCTGAAAATGGTTTTTCACAATCTGCAGAGTATTGCAGTAGATCACTAGACTTTTAAATGCTGTCTGGTCTCAGCGAATAATTTGCACACCACGTTTCTTTTATAGCTTTCCA